GGTCAACCCAATCTTTCTGGTCGGGACGGAGGAGCGTACGCAACATCATCTGAGCGGTCTGGTGTGCTCGCTCCGTCTGGCCATCCGTCTGCGGGTGCCGAGCCGAGCTCGGCTTCATTGTCGTGYCGGACTCRGCCATAAGGGAAGTCCAAAAGGCCGACATGAAGCGAGTATCTCGGTCGCTCACTATGTCTTCCGGAACACCCTGGTCGGTAATCCAACCGGTGTGCAAGAGTCGTGTGAGCTCAGGCGCTGCAGCATGATACTTGCAAGGAAGGAAGCGAGCATACTTACTCAAACGGTCAACGACCGTGAGAATACCGTCATGGCCTAGGCGATCGCGGGGGAATGGGCCTGTCACGTCCATAGCAATGGAGAGGCGCGGTGCCCGAGGAATTGGCAACGGTTTCAGTTCGCTGAAGGGGACTCGAGATCGACCCTTGTTACGGTGGCAAACTGCACATGACTCAATGTACCTCGTGACGTCGTGAAGGACGTCGGGCCAGTGAAAACGCTGGCGGAGGCGTGCTAATGTGCGNTTACGGTGGCAAACTGCACATGACTCAATGTACCTCGTGACGTCGTGAAGGACGTCGGGCCAGTGAAAACGCTGGCGGAGGCGTGCTAATGTGCGTTTTACGCCAAGGTGTGCCGAAAGTCGTGCGTCGTGGAATTCGCCGAGAAGACGAGTCCGTAAGATGCGATCTTGGGGCACAACTAACAAGTCTTTTCCTCTCGTGTGAAGGAGAATTGACCCGTCAGAAATCGGATAGTGGCTAGCCGGCGGGTGATCCGATGAAAGCTCCGCGTAAAGCGTAGAGTAAGTCGGATCGAACTTGTAGCCTTTGACGAAATGCGGCTGCAGATCGTCATTGAGGTCGAATGTCGTGGTCACAATGGCACAAAAGTCGGGCCGTCGTGAGAGGGCGTCCGCAGCTCGATTGGCGGGACCGGGAATGTGGCACGGGTCAAAGTCGAACTGGTCGATGTAATACATCCATCGACCGATCGTGCTAGTGACCGTATCCTTCGTTTTATAAAAGGTCAATCGATGTTGTCCGTATTCCATTTAAAACGCCGACGACCGAGAAGAAAGTGGCGCCACCATTTGAGAACGGTGACGAACGCGAGTAGCTCTTTCTTCCTAGCGTTGTCGAGAGTGTTGACGAGAGGCACCTTTTGGGAGAAGTACTCGACTGGATGCCAACCGTCCTCGTGACACTGTTCCAACACCGCACCAATACCGTATCCCGAAGCGTCCGTAGTCACTTGGGTGGGAAGGGTGGGGTCGTATATACGGAGGGCAAGTGCGGCTTGCATTGCTGCCTTCAACGTAGTGAACGTGCCAGAGGCTGCGTCGTCGAACTCGAAGGGCACCTTCGGGGACTGAAGTCTCGACAAAGGAGCGGCCACTTTCGAGTATGACTCGACGAATCGCTGATAATATCCAGCCAAACCCATGGAAGAGCGTACGTACGTCGTGCAACGGGTTTCCGGCCAATCCACGATGGCTTGGATCTTGTCCGCTAAGGGACGAATGCCTTTCGGCGTGACAAAGTGACCCAAGTACTCAAGCTCCTGCTTGGCGAACTCGCACTTGTCGAGATTCGCTTTGTACTTGGCCAATTGCAAACGATCCAAAACAGCGCGAAGGTGTACGATGTGCTCGTCCAACGTCCTACTATAAACCAGGATGTCATCGAGGTAGATAAGGACGCTGCGATCGAGCAAGTAACTCAGTCGTCATAGCTGCTTGGAAAGTCGCGGGGGCATTGGTGAGGCCAAATGGCATGACAACCCACTCGAAATGCCCGTACCGCGTCTTGAACGCGGTCTTTTACCGATCCTGAGGCTGGATTTCAATCTGGTGGTAGCCCGACTTCGAGAAGTACGTCGCGCCGCCTAACCACTCCAGGAGATCATCAATCCGAGGGAGAGGGCTGGCGTTCTTTACGGTTTGTGCGTTAAGTTTCCGATAATCGATGCATAACCGTAGTTCTTTGTTCTTCTTCCGGCCGAAGAGAACAGGGGCATCGTACGGCGAACAACTAGGGCGAATCCAGCCCTTGTTGAGAAGGTCATCGAGTTGTGTGCGAAGCACCTCGAGTTCCCCTTCGCTCATGCGGTAAATACATCCACGCGGAGGGACGACACCAGCCTCGAGAGTGATCCCGTGACGTATGGGCCGATCCGGAACCGTTCCGGTGGGAGCCTCGAAGACATCTCTATACTCGTCCAAGAGGTGAGAAATGCGTGGGTCTGGCGGTGACGCGGCTGGTCCGTCCGGCGAGGGAAGAGCATGCAAGAATACAAGGCCCATCTCCTCGACGTCATTCCGAGCTATGGCATCGCGAATTCTCGCAACGGAAACCACGTGACAAGCAATCGAAGTGTGAGGGGTCGCGACCGTACATGGGACTAACACTCCATTCCGATCACGGATGAACGGTCCGGTCGTGGAAGTTCACCGGATGATCGGCGCTACGCAACCAAGACATGCCTAGAATCATGTCGAACTTGGTGTCGAGGATGTCAAAAGACACTGGCTCGCACGCAAGTGGCGCAAAGTATACCGGAACGCTGTCGACGTATCGGTCAATTGACTTTTGCGTGCGGCCGTCCGCGAGTGTAACTTGCGTAGGTTGCGTCTTCCCTGGAACGCGCGGGCCAAGGCCTGCGCGGGCCATAAAGGCTTGGCTTATAAAGTTGCGAGACGCTCCGCAATCAATCAAGGCACTACAGGTTGCCTTTCCGATTTGAATGCGGATATAGAGCAAAGGCGCGCCGGTTTCGGCGTACCTTTGGGTGTCGTACTCGCGGTCAATCTTCGCAAGATAGGAGCGGGGATCGACAACCGCTACCCCGTCGTCCGTCAATGGAGCTGGTACTGTATTGTGCAAATAGGAGCGTAGATTTGCCATCAAGGCGTTGCAATGCGGCCTTGGCAAGGTTCCGGTCGAGGGTAGAGGCATCCAAGCGAAGTCCTCTCTAGTGAGCGGGTCAAGCTCCTCAAGTCTTGACCACGCCGTCGAGTCCTCGGAAATCAGTGGCGAGCTGACCGGATCACTTGCCGACGGTGTACAGGCTGCGCATACGCAATCTAAGTGCGCGTGGCTCGGCTGGTCTAATGGTGGTACCAGCTGGGTGGCATAATCCTCGTACGTAGCATGAGAATCAGCGACTAACGCATGCTCCCCGATAGTGACATCGATTGCTAGCAAGGCAACCGGTTCCGGCGGAGTGAGGGGAGATGTCGCCTCTCTCCTTGCGCAACTCAGTTTCCCGAGTTCGCTGGACGGGGTACACGTGCCTTGCCCTTTTTGGGGCATTGTGCGGTCAAGTGAGTGACTCCATTGCACCAAAGGCAATATACGTACTGTTGTCGAAGATCAAATACTTCCTTGGTTATATTGAATGCCGTCCATGGTTGCTGCCCAGTTCCCGTCGATGTCGTCGCTTGTGTCGCCTTGTTCTTCCGAACTCTCTTGGGACGCTTTGGCGGGAGCGCTGCAACAGTTCCTCCATCACCCGAGTATGCTGCTGCAGCGTGGAGATCGACTATTTCTTCAGAAATCACGGCATTGTTGTGTGCCGGTCGTTGATAGCCCTGCTTTGCCACATAGTGCGGCTGGGACTGCCGTTCGTTAGCGGCCTTGTCATCCGTTTGGATGACCAGGTTCGCACGATCCAGAATAGCCTGGAATGAGGCATAATCGTACTCGTTGCCGAGTGCGGTTCGCAGTCCTGCGCACGATCGCGAGAAGAACTCGGCTCGTTGGTTTGTGAAACTCAAATCGAAGCCTGGCGTGGTCACTATCTTCTGCCGCTTGATTGTCCAGTCTCGAGTTGGCATGTTTCCCTGTGAGCAAGTGTGGACCTCGTTCATGGCCGCCTTCACAACGTTGCGGACCATGAATCGAGTGAACCACATCTGTTCAAAATCCTCCCACGTGAGGTGTTTATGTAACTCGGCGATAGTGGTTCCCTTGTTAACTGCGAGATGGTTCATCCACGCCTGCGCACCTCCAATGAGTTGGAGGTATAGTGCCTTTATCATGTCTTCGTCCGGGACCTTGTGGCAGGACGCTTTGGTGAGGAAGGCTTGCCACCATGTCAAAGCGTCGGTCTTGTTGCAGTCCTCGAACTTGCCGATGTTGAAGCGTGGCATCTTGTAGACCTTCGCAGCTGCTGCCGGTTGCGACTGCAGCTTGGTGATGTCCGTCTTGATGGCGGCCACCGTGCTGCTGATCGTAGCCGGACTGGTGAAGTCACTTAGATCGCCGATTAGGTTGACGACATGGTCGATGCGCTCGTTGAACTGTTTCGCCGTGTCTGTCGTGCAGCCTGGCGCTGCTGAGGCTTTAGCCTCAATGCTGTTGATGCGTGCGAGAGCGGATTTCAACAGCTGATGCTGTTGCTGCTGCTGTGTTACTGCGGCGCGGACGGCAGCTGCTAAAGCGGCAGTGTCTTGCTGCTGCTTCTGTCTGTGCTGTCATTCCGCAGCAGTTTGTTGTTCCACATTACTCCCCTCATCACGCTCAACATCAAATTAGCCAGGTTACTTCTCTCTGCCTCTGCCGGGGTCGGATCCGCCTGCGCGTCCGTAGGCACAAAGATCATGCCTTGGAGTAGAGTTGTCCACTGATTCTCACTTTGAATCAGGGACTCCGTGCTGGCGGCATTCCGTCTGTCTCGTGCCGCTGCGTCAGCCTCAGGAGTCCGCTGAGTTTGGGCTGCCGCCTCATTGGCCAGCCGCTGACGTTCTGCCTCTGCTGCCTCCTGCTGTGCCTTAGCGGTAGCTACAGCATCCGTGAATGCCTGTACCCGCTGAAGGTAAACAGACAACGGCTCACTGGCCCCTTGGACCGGACATGCGGGAAGGGCCCCGGTGGTAACTGGTACTGCCGTAGCTGTACTCGATGCCGCTGGAGTCGTCCTGGGCTTCCTGGGCTTACTTGGCACCCGCTACCCAAGAGATAGACCACTGGATCCCTCGATCGGCATCAAGCTGAGTCGCTGTTGCTGGTACTTAGACCGTGGAGGTACCACAGAACGGCTACGAACTGCGAGCCTGGCACTGCGTCGTGGCAGTGCCCCGGTGTCCTGTTCCGTCAACAGCAGCACAAGCTGATGTGGTACTGTAGAAGTCCCGGTGGTCACAGATTACGGGGAGGTTAGGGAGAGTGGGAACAGGGATAGAACAATCAAACAATTCGCATACAGTCCCTGTCCCAATGATGGACTTAGACACCTAATCAAAATAGAAAAAGATAAACTTTCCAAACACAACTTAAAAATTCGCAATAGCTCAGTTGGTAAGGCTCGCAAGTGGCATTCAGGAGGTCATGGGTTCAATCCCCATTGGCCTCATGCCTTCCTGGGCTTACTTGGCACCCGCTACCCAAGAGATAGACCACTGGATCCCTCGATCGGCATCAAGCAGAGGGGAGGCACGGGGGATTGGTCCACTTTATCCCTGGTGATACCGGCCGTCCCCTGGCCGGTATCCTGCAGGCTCGAGGGGCCGTAAAAACACGGCTCTGGTATGCTACGGGTTTCCCCGTATGCCTATAGGTAGGAGTAGTGGTAGGTAGGTAGTGTGAGGAAAAATTGAGAGAAGAGTATAGTTAAAAAAAAA